TACTGTGGTTTCTCCTACATTCGAATGGAAAGAAATGCTAAATGTTGGTTAGAGGTTAGGGAGAATCCGGATGTATTCTTTCCCCAGCTGTGTGCACCAGCTCACTAAATCTTGTCCATGAACTCCAGGTTAAAATCCCCTACTACTTAAAGGATGGTCCAGGCCGGGCGCGGTGGCTCACACCTGTAATCTCAGCACTGTGGGAGGCTGAGGCGGGTGAATCATTTGAGGTCAGGAGTTCAAGACCAGCCTGGCCAACATGGTGAAACCCCATCTCTGCTAAAAATACAAAACTTAGCCAGGCATGGTGGCACATGCCTGTAATCCCAGCTACTCAGGAGGCTGAGGCAGGAGAATCCCTTGAACCCGGGAGGCAGAGGTTGCAGTGAGCCGAGATCGCACCACTGCACACCAGCCTGGGCGACAGAGCAAGACTCTATCTCAAAAAAAAAAAAAAAAGGATGATCTGGACCAACAGCCTGAGGTGGTTAATGCTTCTCAAATCCTCTGGGATAAATGCAGGCTCTGATTCAGTGAATGTACCCTGAGAGTCTGCATTGCTAAGAGGCCCCAAGTTAGCAATGCTTTTTCTGGTGCAGGCACCCCAAATGGCAGACAGAAGCCTCAGGGCTTATCCTGGTGACGACTTTAACCTGGAGTGGAGGTCAGAGCTGGAATGCACACGGCACACGGATGGTGTTTCCTGATCCTTGACGTCTCTAGCAATGGCTTGGAGTTCTCCAGCTTCATCCTCAAGGGGCATGCGTTCCTTTTCCATAAGTATGTGATGACAGAGACGAACATGGGTGGAGATTCTGAGCAGCTAGGTGCCCTGCTTCCTGAAAGCTCCCACGGAGCAGCAGCAGCTGCTGGTCAGGTAAGCCGCAGACCCGTGGCAAGTCCCAATACACAAAATGCATGCACAACTACACACAACCATTCACAGAAAATAGAGACGACTCACAAGTGCAAGTCACCAAGCCCTAAAAGTGCAAAGAAAAAAGCAACTAAATTTTTTTTTTTTTTTTTTTTTTGAGATGGAGTGTTGCTCTGTCACCCAGGCTGAAGTACAGTGGCACAGTCTCAGCTCATTGCAACCTCTGCCTGCCAGGTTGAAGCCATTCTCCTGCCTCAGCCTCCAGAGTAGCTGGGATTACAGGCGCCCGCCACCACGCCCAGCAAATTTTTGTATTTTTAGTAGAGATGCGGTTTCACCATATTGGCCAGGTTGGTCTTGAACTCATGACCTCAGGTGTCTGCCTGCCTTGGCTTCCCAAAGTGCTGGGATTACAGGCATGAGCCACCGTGCCTGGCCTAAAGACTTTGAAATTAATAACAAATGTACCTTCCCTATTTTCCTGAGTGCACAAAAACATGTATTTAACTCTTCTCTAAACTAGGTCCTATTAATCAACCTCAGCTGTAAAAAAACTCCAATGCTTGAGATATACTTAATATAGAAAGTATTAAAACAGCAAGAAATAGTCCAAGTTAACAAATGGTGTAACTGCTATTTGTAGTACCATGGCAAAAAGTGTGCAAAATATCAAGGTAATTAAACTAACTTTTGTGTCCCATCCACTAGTGGTTTTTACAATGTTTTTCCCAGGAAAAATTAAATCTGGAGACCTGGGTCACTGGGCCTACATTTTTTCTTCAGCCTTGATGGGGTTTGCAGAGCCTTTCCATACCACTTCTCCACCTGCAGCACCCCCAACAGCCTGATTGGAGCTTCCTTCAACCTCCCTCCTTCCTTAAACCCAAGTTCTTTAGTTGTATAGCAAACATTTCAACTTTCAACCCAGTTACTAGGGCTGGTGGGCTGCTCTTAGGGTGCCCTCTGCTGGCCACACATGGAAGCAGGTGTAAAAGTCTTAAAACACATCTTTCTTTAGGAATTGTAAGAATAAAAATTAAAGATTAAAAAAAAAAATTGGAAGAAAGAAAGAATTAGTTTGTGTTTGTTTTGCTTAGCATCTTTGGTCTCTGGGATTCAAAAAGTATGTTGATGCAACAGGAGGTAGTTAAGAAAAGTTTGGATGGCTAGGTGCAGTGGCTCCAGCCTGTAATCCCAGCACTTTGGGAGGCCGAAGCAGGTAGATCACCTGAGGCCAGGAGTTCGAGACCAATCTGGCCAACTGGTGAAACCCAGTCGCTACTAAAAATCCAAAAAGAAAAAAAAAAGCCAGGCATGGTGGCATACACCTATGATCCCAGCTACTTGGGAGGCTGAGACATGAGAATCACTTGAACCTGGGAGTTCAAGATTGCAGTGAGCCGAGATCATGCCACTGCACTCCAGCCTGGGAGACAGAGCAAGACCTTGTCTCAAAAAAAAAGAAGTTTGGGAGCTCCTAGGTTACACTCCAGAAGTCTTTTAATTATTTTATCTTACCAATTTATCTGTGCTTGTAGACACAGAATTTTGCCATGTTGCCATGCCCAGCCCTCCAGAAGCCTCTTAAAAGCACATTGAAGGCTGCCCACAGTGGTTCACACCTGTAATCCCCACACTTTAGGAGGCCAAGGTGGGAGGATCACTTGAGCTTGGGAGTTCAAGACCAGCCTGGGCAACAGGGCACGACTCTGTCTCTACAAAAACTATTTAAAATTTGGCAGGCTAATTTTTTAGTAGTGGTCCCAGCTCCTCGGGAGGCTAAGGTGGGAGGATCGCTTGAGCCTGGAAGGTGGAGATTGCAGTGAGCTGAGATCATGCAACTGCACTACAGCCTGGGGGACAAAGTGAGACCCTGTCTCAAAAATAATAATAATAAAATAAATTTTAAAGCATATTGAAACAGTAAAGAACTCCTACAACTCAACAACAATAAAACAAACAACTTGATTAAGAAATGGGCAATGGATTTGAATAGACATTTATTTAAGAAGATAAACAAATGGCCAACGAGTACATGAAAAAATGCTCAACACCACTAATCGATTAATTAAGGAAATAAGAATCAAAACCAAAACACAGCCACAGTAGCCTATAGTCCCAGCTACTCCTAGAGGCTGAGGTAGGAGGATAACTTGTGCCCAAGAGCTGCAGACCACCCTAGGCAACATAGTGAGACCCCATCTCTAAAAACAAAATAAAATAAAAATAAATTTTTTAAAACATCCATTATGATGGCTACTAGTAAAAAATGAAACAGGAAATAACAAATGTTATTGAGGTTGTGGAGAAATTGGAACCCTTGATGGCAGGAATGTAAAATGGTGCAGCCACTATAGAAAACAGCATAGCAATTCCTCAAAAAATTAAAAATAGAATGACCACAGAATCCAGCTATTCCACTTCTAGGCATGTATCTAAAAAAACTGAAAGCAGAGTCTTGAAGACGTATTTGTACACCCATATTAATAGCAGCATTATGCATAATAGCCAAATGGTTGAAGCAAGCCAAGTGTCCATCAGCAGATGACTGGATACACAGATGCAGCAAACCCACAACACACATTCCCACGTAACGAAGGACACACTGCTACAACACGGACGAACGTTGGCGATACGATGCTAAGTGAATAAACCTGTCACAAAAACACCACTACTATGTGATTCTACTTATATAAGGGATCTCGAATAGTCAAACTCACAAAGAGAGCAGAATGGGGGTTGCCAGGGGACTGGGGGATGGGGAAATGGGGAGTTCTTGTTTCATGGGTACAGAGTTTCAGTTTTGCAAGACGAAAAAGCTCTGGAGGTAGGTTGTACAATCAGTATGCTTACTCCTGCTGGACCGTATACACTTAAAAATGGTTAGGATGGTCAATTCTGTCGTGTACTTTACCACAATTAAAAAAATTTTTTTTTTGAGACAAGGTCTCACCCTGTCACTCAGGCTGGAGTGCAGTGGCGTGATCACAGCTCACTGTAGCCTCAACCTCCCAGGCTCAAGCAATCCTCCCACCTCAGCCTCCCCCGTAGCTGGGATCAGAGGTGCGCGCCACCACGCCTGACTAATTTTTTTTTGAAGAGATGGTGTTTCACCATGTTGCCTGGGCTGGTCTCAAACTCCCGGGCCCAAGCGATTTTCCCACCTCAGCTTCCCAAAGTGCTGGGATTACAGGCGTGAGCCACCGCACCCAGCCACATAAAAATCCACACGATTCCTTCCTGTGCTGGCCTGCTCCAGGTCTGGCTCAGCTTCTCGAAACTCAGAAAGTTGCCGCTCGCAAGGATTTAGAGATCTAGTTGAATTTTACAGATCAAAATACTAGAGGCCACGACAGGCAAAGTGACTTGGGAAAGGTCTCCCGAGTTTAGTAGTAGAGACAAGATTAGTTAGTCTGGCTCCTGACTCCCAGACTGGGGCTCTACCCTGCACTCCCAATTCCAGCGGGGACACCCATTTCCACACAGGGCGGGAAAAGGCACCCTATCCATTCGGCTTCCTTCCTGTACACCAGGGGTTGGAGGTAGGTGAGCATGTGAGGAAATGCACCTTTGGTAAAAGCTCCTGACCAAACCTGGAGGGAGATGAGAAGAAACAAACAGGTCAGTGCTTAAATGCTAACAGGACTACCCGGGCGCAGTGGCTCACGCCTGTGATCCCAGCACTTTAGGAGGCCAAGGTGGGCAGATCACTTGAGGTCAGGAGTTCAAGACTAGCCTGGCCAACATGACGGCCAAACCTCGTCTCTACTAAAAGTACAAAAATCAGCAGGACGTGGTGGCAGATGCCTGTAATCCCAGCTACTCGGGAGGCTGAAGCAAGAGAATCACCTGAACCCAGGTGGCAGAGGCTGCAGCGAGTTGAGATTGTACCACTGCACTCCAGCCTGGGGGATAGACTGAGATTCTGTCTCAAAAAAAAAAAAAAAAAAAAAAAAACAGGATAAAGCCTGAGTATTTTTTTTCCCTATTAAGTTACTTTGTAGCTTTCCCCAACCTCCAGTCATAAAGGAGTTTGGAATTGTCCCTTCAAGGTGACACATTCTGCTACATTGTGAATGACGGACACTGTTTTCTGCCTTCAATAATACCACATGATGAGGCATACATAGAAATGATTTTTTATTTACTTTGATGATTAGGAAAAGATACCAACATAGCTTTCATCAAAGCTAACAAATTACTGGCAGTTAACTAATTTTATTAGAATAAAGACATGTCTGTTTAAACTGAAACCACCGGCCCTTTGCTTTGGCTGGGACCTTGCGAATCACGGCCAAGGTGCTGATCACAAAACAGTCACCATCACATCAACCTCCTGCCAGCACAAGGCACAGAGATGCCATGAAGGCCCCGCAGGTCCCTAGAAGAGCAGCTGGGGCTCCACCTACCGAGTCCCAGTGGCTTATTTTGAAAAGATTTGCTTTCCACCGGTAAGGCGTGGCCCAAGTACATTTCTCGGGACTGCCATTGGCTCATCGTGCATGCATATGAGGTAGTTCTCTTTGCATTTTGCAGATGCTCTTGCTTGCCCAGGGGGTGGATGTCACGAATCTGAAACCTCTGGCTTCACATTCCCACTGGGAATGCCCCCCGGCCCCCAGTCAAAAGTCAGTCTCCAATCCTGCCGCAGACTCTAGCTCTTCAAATCCAAACGGATGTTTTCTTCATCCACAGGTTTCGGTTTTAACTGGCTGCTCAGTGTTAAAAAGGAGTATCTCAAGCCCCCTGCCATGCTGAAAGGAGAAAAAAAAAGTGAAAATAAATGACGGGGAATTTCCCAGGGGCTCCAGCAGCCGTTGCTGGTGTTTTTATCAATACAGCCTGCTTCACGCGGAGGGAATTATTCCAGTATCTGTGTTTCTCCTCAAGTTTGTGGATTGCTTGATGAGAATGTCCCCTCTTATTTACGAGCCTTTGTCATCAAATCTAATGCAGAACCTCAGAGAGAAAATAAGCACTTGGTTTTTACTGAATAAACTACATACCCTTAGCCTTAAATAGTATCCCACTGCTGAGACCCCAAATGCCTTTCAAAGCTGGGTTAGTCCACACCCCCTGCTTGCCGAGCCTAGTGGTCACAAAGGTTAACACCCTCCACTTCACAGGAGGGCAGAGAACGCAGGGGCCTTCTGTGAGGAAGACAGGTGAGCTAAATTCCGATCCCAGCCCCACAAACTGTCATCACACATGTCCCCATGGATCTGCATGAGGATGAACCCAGGGATGAAGTAAAATTATCGTAGAAATTAGAATGTCAAAACGCCTCCCGGCTTAACATGAAAGACTTCTCTAGGCTCTTTTGCTTCTTACATATTAATCGAACTGTTTACGGTTCTTGTTTTCCCAAAGCGAGTCCATTAAAAATTCCCACTCACCAAATATTTAATCCTACAAAGTTTAACAAAGAGAAAATGTAGTCTCCACCGATTAACATCCCAATGTAGGCAACGGATACATTCTGCAGAAAAAGAGAGAGGATTCGTCATTTTAAAAGTAAAATGTTTAGGGGAAAATATAAATAGTAAAACCTGAAACTAGACATTTTAGTTACTTTGCAAAGAGACTTGTACATAGGGATATTCACAGGGGGCTGAAAAAAATAAAAAACCATTACAGGCCAGGAATGATGGCTCTCACGCCTGTAATCCCAATACTCCGGGAGGCCAAAGTCAAAGGATCACTTGAGCCCAGGAGTTTAAGACCAGCGGGGGCAACACAGTGAGATCCCATCTCTACAAAAAATTTTTTGAAAGTAGCCGGACATGGTGGCACATGCCTGTAATCCCACAGGGACTGAAGTGGGAGGACTGCCTGAGCCCAGGAGGTCAAGGCTGCAGTGAGCTACATGCCACTATACTCCAGCCTGGGCAACAGAGCAAGACCCGGCCTCAGAAAAATAAATAAGCCATTACATATGGGGCTTACTAAATGAATGCAGTAAATTATGGTCTGATAACAACAGAAAATTGCGTTATTCTCTCCCCGTTCCAGTTGGCATGCAGGCGAAAGAGGAAGAGTGGGGCTATCATCAGCTTGCCAGATCCTAACTCTTTACTATCATTGGGTAGTGAGGTTTTCCGGGGGTTTTTTTCTTCTTTTTTTTTTTTTTTAGACAGAGTCTCGCTCTGTTGCCCAGGCTGGAGTGCAGTGGCACAATCTCGGCTCACTGCAACCTTTGCCTCCCAGGTTCAAGAGATTCTCCAGTCCAGCCTCCCAAGTAGCTGGGACTACAGCGCGCCCACCACCACACCTGGCTCATTTTTGTATTTTTAGTAGAGATGGGGTTTTGCCATATTGGCCAGGCTGGTCTTAATTCCTGACCTCAGGTGATCTGCCTGCCTCGGCCTCTTGAAGTCCTGGGATTACAGGCATGAGCCACTGTGCCTGGCCTGTTTTTCTTTTCTATTTTTTTTTCCAACCCTGGGCACTGCAGATTGTGCACTGGACACTACACTGCAATCTGTGGGCACACCAGGGCCAAGTAGTGAGTTAATTGTCTTGATGGTAAACTTGAGCAGAGTGGAGACAGTCAATTCCAGGCCATGCTCTGCCCCGTGCATTCTAGGAGACTCTGGGCAGCCAAGGGACAGGTGAATTCTTGAAGCAGGCGGTGTTTTCAAACACTCTAGGACGTCATGTGAATAGAAAAATGAAGCAATTATGGAATAGAATCCAGAACACCTCTCCCGCTGTTCATTCACGTGCGTGTGTGTGTATTCAGATGCATCCACACACACAAACACCCACACACCAGCCCACAAGCTCACCGACCTCACCACACAGCGCGCACCAGCCCACAAGCTCACCGACCTCACCACACAGCGTGCACCTCCACAAGGGCTCCACTTCTCAGTGGGCAGGTTCTCCCAGAAAACCAAATTATGGATCACAAGGTGTCTTACTCATCATTGATACCTGGGTTTTGTTTTGTTTTGTTTTAGCTTTTTACTTCATTTTCCCAAACCCACCCCTCCAAGCCACCCCCAACTTAAAAGTTGTAATTTGTCTCTCCTTCATAAATTAGCAATCTGTCCCTCTATTCTATGCAGTAGATTAGAAGAGTAAGATGGGGCCGGGCTCAGTGGCTCATGCCTGTAATCCCAGCACTTTGAGAGGCTGAGGTGGGTGGATCATGAGGTCAGGAGTTCAAGACCAGCCTGGCCAACAAGGTGAAACCCAGTCTCCACCAAAAATATAAAAAATTAGCCAGCTGTGGTAGTGGGCACCTGTAATCCCAGCTACTCGGGAGGCTGAGGCAGGAGAACTGCTTGAACCAGGGAGGTGGGTGCAGTGAGCCAAGATTGCACCACTGCACTCCAGCCTGGATGACAGAACGAGACTCTGTCTCAAAAAAGAAAAAGAAGAAGTAAGATGGGATCACACAGGCCCAGCTGAAAAGGTCACAGCCCTCATTCTTACACCACCACCACCACAACCAACAAAATCAAATCCGGCCTTCAGCGGAAAATCTGGATTCACAGTCCAATCCTTGACTCAGTTGTTCCTTCCAAGGCTCCATCCACTCACCTTGATGGCTCCAACCACTGCTGTCGTCAAGGCTGAATTGTAATAGCTGCACAGAACCGTGGAGTACATCAGCAGAAACCTGCGACAAGGAAGCAGACACTGGAGTGTGCATCTCACTACGCTGGGAATAATAAATAGGTTAAGGCCAGCGGTGACCCCCACACAAGCACTTTAAGCAAAGAAAAAAGAAACACATATCATAAAGGTTTTGTAACCCACACCTTAAGATATCTTGCTATTGGTCTTATGACAGGAAAATGGTCCAGCTGTGAATTAGCTAAACCTTCTACTTAAGGTATCCTTCTCATTTTCTCTGTACATTTCCCCTGAATGTTTCCACAACCTGGGGGTAAGGAGAACAAGGTTTAACGACCTGAAATCTCTCATTTATCAGCATGTTAAATGAAGTTAAGACTTTGAGTTTTTGTTTTGTTTTGTTTTGTTTTGTTTTTTGAGACGGAGTCTCACTCTGTCGCCCAGGCTGGAGTGCAGTGGCCGGATCTCAGTTCACTGCAACCTCCGCCTCCTGGGTTCGTGCCATTCTCCTGCCTCAGCCTCCCGAGTAGCTGGGACTACAGGCGCCCGCCACCGCGCCCGGCTAATTTTTTTGTATTTTTAGTAGAGACAGGGTTTCACTGTGTTAGCCAGGATGGTCTCGATCTCCTGACCTCAGGTGATCCACCCGCCTTGGCCTCCCAAAGTGCTGGGATTACAGGTGTGAGCCACCGTGCCCGGCCGACTTTGAGTTTTTAATCCTCTGTGCATCAGAATCACCTGTTGCACCTTTCTTTGTGTGTTTGTTTTGGTAGGGACGGAGTCTCACTCTGTCGACCAGGCTGGAGTGCAGTGGTGCAATCTCGGCTCACTGCAACCTCCACCCCTAGGTTCCAGCAATTCTCCTGCCTCAGCCTTCCGAGGAGCTGGGCCTACAGGCTCATGCTGCCATGCCCAGCTAATTTTTTTTGTATTTTAGTAGAGATGGGGTTTCACCGTGTTGCCCAGGCTGGTCTTGAACTCCTGAGCTCAGGCAATCCGCCCGCCTTGGCCTCCCAAAATGCTAGGATTACAGGCGTGAGCCACTATGCCGGTCTGCCTGCTGCATTTCCAACACACAATGAACGATGCCTGGCAGAGGTTCTGCTTCACATGGTTTGAGGTGGGGCCCTGACCACGCACGAGATGAAAGATCCTCAGGTGATTCTGACCTGCAGCCAGAGAGGAGGACCCCTGGTGTCGGAAGAGAAAATCAGCTGAGTGATTGCTGCCTTCAGACAGAGGAGATTGAAACAGATGCCACGTGTGGATAAGGCTACTGTACCTGTTACCAAAGTTAACTCAGGCACTTAACATGACCGTAGGTATTGATACTTACTTGCCAATAAAATGATACAGCCTTGTGAACGAGCACCCGACAAGAAAACACATACACAGGTAAAGAATGCCAAATCCAGTCAGGTAAAGAAGTGAGCTAATTCCAGTCAAGCCGTGATGGAAATTAGCTGCAACCTCACCTAAGCTGCAACTCAGATCAGATGATGAAATGTTGAAAGGGAATACAAACCAGCTGAGAAAGAAACATGGAAGGTACAGGGAGAGCATAAGGTGTGTGAGATGTGAAAAGCTAAATTCCAGGTCAGGTTGGACACGGTGACTCATGCCCATAATCCCAGCACTTTAGGAGGCAGAGGTGGGTGAATCGCCTGAGGTCAGGAGTTCCAGACCAGCCTGGCCAACATGGTGAAACCCTCTCTCTACTAAAAATACGAAAATTAGCCGGGCATGGCGGCACATGCCTATAGTCCCAGCTACTCGGGAGGATGAGGCAGCAGAATTGCTTGAACCTGGGAGGCGGAGCTGAGATCATACCACTGCACTCCAGCCTGGGTGACAGGGCGAGACTCCGTCTCAATTAATTAATTAATCAGTCCCAGGTTGAAGGCAGGAGCTTGGATTCCCCATTGACAGAAGCGAACTCAACTCTAGCAAAGGGCTCAGTGCACCTGCGCTTGGGTAAGCACAGAATTTATTGAATTCTAGAATCCTGCTAGAATTTAACATTCGGTCTTGGTCCTAGGCTAAATCTCTGGTGGAGATCACGGTCACAGACCTTCAACATGACAACCTCTGTTGGCCTGAGTGTGTTTATTACTAAAGGTGGCAGAGGGAAAAAATCAGAATATCAAGCTTTACAAATTGAAGAATAAACTTAATTTCAAACTTAAATTTTGTAATCTTTGGAATACTGTGTGCATTGTAATTAAAACAATTTGAAAAGTTAAAGAAACTCTTGGTTCTAATTTGAAATATATAATTGATGTTAGACTTGCAATTTTAATTTGAAAGAAGAGTGTTGAAGTCTCATCAGAATTTGAAATTTTTTTTTTTTTTTTTTTTTTTTTGAGACTGAGTCTCACTCTGTGGCCAGGCTGGAGTGCAGTGGCGCAATCTCGGCTCACTGCAACCTCTGCCTCCCAGGTTCAAGCAATTCTCCTGCCTCAGCCTCTCAAGTAGCTGGGACTACAGGCAAGCGCCACCACACCCAGCTAATTTTTGTACTTTTAGTAGAGACGGGGTTTCACCATGTTGGCCAGGATGGTCTCGATCTCTTGACCTCGTGATCTGCCCACCTCAGCCCCCCAAAGTGCTGGGATTACAGGTATGAGCCACCGCGTCTGGCCTGAATGTTTTTTAAGAAGCTGATTTACCCCATTTCTAAATTTGGTTTATTAGATTTCAAACAGTTGCTTAAGTACAGAAAGCAATCTACTAGCTTTGTTAATTGGCCTCAGGGGTTGGAATTGCTGAAGAAAAAGTAGGCAGCTCCCATTTGTAAAAGCAGTTGAAAATGCTTAAATTATTTTAATTCACTAAGCTGTAAATGGAACTGATTTACAGTACATTGTTTAGGGGATTTTAATCAGTTAAACTTGAGTTAATAAACTATTTATCAAATAATGAAAGTAAATGTTCTTTTATAGAAAAATTGTTAGCCTTATAAATAAGGCAATAATATTTGTAAGTTGAACTTTAAGGCTTAAGAAAAATAATCCAAATTTCGGACGGGCATGGTGGCTCATGCCTGTAATCCCAGCACTTTGGGAGGCCAAGGCAGGCAGAGAGTGAGATGATCCTGGCCAACATGGCCAACACAGTGAAACCCTGTCTCTACTAAAAATACAGAAAATTGGGTGTGGTGGCAGGCACCTGTAGTCTCAGTTACTTAGGGGGCTGAGGCAGGAGAATCGCTTGAGCCCAAGAGGCAGAGGTTGCAGTGAGCCAGGATCGCACCACTGTACTTTAGCCTGGGAGACAAAGCAAGACTCCGTCTCAAAAAAAAAAATCCAAGTTTCTCAAATTGTTATAATTTTAATAAATCTAACATTAATTTAGATTCCCAGGAGTTATAAATAATCCTATTTATGCATAAAATGAAAAAATTTGAAAACTCAAACTGATGCCACTGAGTGCCTGCTCTGCCAGGCCCTGGCCATCGGAGGGGACCATCCCATTCACAGCACCTGCCCCGGAGCCGCTCAGACCCAGCTGAGAGGAGAGAGCTGCGCAGCAGCGGTAGCACAGCACAGGGCCCTGGAGCTGCTCAGACCTAGCTCAGAGGAGAGAGCTGCGCAGCAGCGGGAGCACAGCACAGGGCCCCGGAGCCGCTCAGACCCAGCTCAGAGGAGAGAGCTGCGCAGCAGTGGGAGCACAGCGCAGAGCTCAGCCCAACGCAGGGGCAAGAGAGGAGCTTCCTGCAGGCCGCGTACGCACCAGTGCAGCCTTCAACCAAGGACAGCATGGATGTTCTTTATTTCCACTTTTGCTTTAAAATTCCAACTCCAGGGTTCCAGTCATGCAACATTTTCTCCACCCTACGTTTTTCTTTTTCTTAAAAAAGGGTTGGGGGGAACCTTATCTCTTGACAAGGTCTGCCTGTATTACCCAGGCTGGACATGAATGCCTGGGTTCAAGGGATCCTCCCACCTATCTTCCAAGTAGCTGGGCTTACAGATGTGTGCCATCACACCCGGCTCCATCTTAGTGAAGCCACCTCAGCCTGCATTCAGAATCAGAAGACATCACGGATCTAAGATCCCAGCACCCGTCTATCATGAGTGTGGGTGACGAGGACATCACTCACCAGCTGGGCTGCGCCAGGGAGGAGAACCCCTCCCTAACATTCTGGAGTGAGCCTCAATGAGCAGCCATCCTCCTTAGCAACAGATAGGCGGCTAGACGAAGAGCTGCACTTCTGTTTTCTTTTCTGTTTTTTAAAGACAGGGTCTCACTCTTTTGCCCAGGCTGGAGTGCAGTGGTGTGATCATGGTTCACTGCAGCCTCCACCTCCCAGGCTCAAGCAATCCTCCCACCTCAGCCTCTCAAGTAGCTGGAACTACAAGTACACATCACTAAACCTGGCTAATTTTTAAATTTTTCTAGATACAGAGTCTTGCTGTCTTGCCCAGGCTGGTCTGGAACTCTGTAGCTCAAGCAATCCTCCCTCCCCAGCCTCCCAAAGTGCTGGGACTATAGGCATTACCCCACTCCCAGCTTGCACTTCTTAATATACCCACTAGATGTCCCCAGAGAGGGCAAATATAGAACCACTGGGCTCAAAGTCGTAGTATATTACATTTTTTAAAAGAATCTATTTCTATATGCAAAAAACCACTTGTATAGTTCTTTGGCCAAAACCAAGACTCTGAACTAAAAGAACCTTCGTTAACTCAGTACTCAGTATAAGAGAAACCACACCCCTTTTAATACTGAAAATATCAACCTCCACATGACTAGCTTTGGTTTTACTATCTGTAGATTAATAAAATACAACAATATTTAAAAGTATTGCTGAATTCTTAGTAACCTTTCTTTCCATTCTATATATTTTTCAGACAGGGTCTCACTCTGTCACTCAGGCTGGAGTCCAGTGGCACAAATCACAACTCACTGAGCTCAGGTGATCCCAGTCTCTGCCTTCTGGGCTCAGGTGATCCCAGTCTCTGCCTTCTGGGCTCAGGTGATCCCAGTCTCTGCCTTCTGGGCTCAGGTGATCCCAGTCTCTGCCTTCTGGGCTCAGGTGAT